AACAACAACAAGAAAAAAACAGCTTTTGATGAGGATTCTAGACTCTGAATTTTTACTTGTGGCTAGACTGGTTCCCAAGATGATCCTAATGTAAATTGGTACCTCTCAAATGTTATCATGCATAAGAATCACTTGAATGTTACTAAAATGCCGATTTATTCGGCAGGTCTTAGAGAAGAGCAGGGCCAAGATTTTCCATTTCTTCTAAAGTTATCAGGGATGTTGACAGTACTAGACTGAGCTGGTGGCATCAGAACTATAAGGACTGCATGGTCAGGAGATGGGTTATACCAGGAGGCTTCAAAAAGTTTGTGGAAAAATTCCATTGTCCAGGAACTTTTTGAAACCCCTCATATACAAGAAAATTTAATCGGTAAGTAAATATATTAAAGGAAATGAGAGATTAAGTTTTTTAATTGTTCAAGAAAAGGGGTGCAAATATTTCAAAGGAGGTTACAATAAACTCTGTGGTATTAAACTAAAACTAGAGGTATCAGTGTGCACTCACATTTGTGTTTTTAACTGAGTAAAATATTCATAACATAAAATGTGCCAGAAGCATAATAAACTGAAGAATTAAGAATAAGGACGTTAGCAAACTCTTGACAAGATAAATACACTACTATGCTATATAATATTGGAAGCAACTGAAATGTATTACCAGTAAGATGAAATAAAAATTATTATAACACTGAAAAAATAAATACGAGTTAGATTTGAATAAATACACCTTGGCATTGCAACACTGGAAAAGTATCGAAATAAATTTTTATCTCATTCATTTAACTAAAAAGATTTAAATGAATGAAATGTTTGAACATATACAAAAGATTAAACAGACAGAATTACAAGAAGAAAACTTGGAGATGTTAGGAATATATACTTATTTTTTGGGAGGCGATTTTATAGAAGATACAAAGTTCCAAAATAATACCATTCTGTTTAAAAACCAAAACAAAACATGTATTTCTATGTACAGAAAATAAAGTCTGGAAGAATTGATACCAATCTATCAAAAGGAATTACCTGGTTGTAGGGAAAGGACTTTTAATTTTCACTTTGAATACTTTTTGTTTGATGTTTTATTTATAAAGTAAAACCAAAAACCCAAAGAGCATGTACTGATTTATGAAAATAAATAAAGGGAAAAACTCAGTCTCATTATCATATAGCAATGGATTTACACACAAAATAGATACTGATATAAAACATTACTTGGGTATAAGAATAAGAGCCCATATATTATTACCTTGATTTCTCATTGGGATAGTGAGCAGAGCAAGATATGGCAACAACTGGGTTTGGAGGCATAAAGCTGGTAAGCAGAAGTCAGAAAAAAGTGCTTTTGCTGCCAGGCAATTCTCTCGATACTGCATAGGGGGGAAAAATCAAAAATGAAGATGAAAAGTAAAACTATGCCTATGTTCTCCTAGACAACTTTATTATGTACAAAGTATGTGGACAGCCCAGATCTTGATTTCTAAATATAAATCCCACTAAAAGGAATCACAAATATACAATACTGAGTCAAAAATTATCTGCTATCTGGCTGTAGAATTTATTTAAATCAACTTTTAGAAA